GTGTTAATTAAATGAATTGTTGGTTTTCTTATAATTTTTTATTTTTAATATATATTATCACATATATTAATTATTCTTTTTACACTATTTAATAAAAATGCTTCTTCTATAATAGAGTATTTAATTCATTCTGTTTTATCTCATTTTATTCGCTTTTATCTTTTTTACTATAAAATAATAGCTATTTAGCTTCTGCAAAATTTTCCAATTGTCTTGTATGAACTGATTGTTTTGGCTTTCAGCCACGGAACAACGATAGTCACGACGACTGTTAGTCACTGCGAACCGCCGGTATTTAGTTTAATTATTATCGTATAATCCTGCGTGAATAAACAATGTACACGGATTGAAATCGTTTCGAAATGTATGTCTCGTAATTCCACTGCGAAGTTAATTGAAGCTACATACCAAATTACTAGAAAATCGAGTTTCCGTTTCGTTGGCGATACATATCGATCCATTATCATTTCCCCAACGACGGCCGAGTGCCTAATCGTACCCGCGCTTGTTCATTCAATGCCATGTGTGTTCGTGCTTCCGGCTGCTTGGATATTCTCGAATGTGCGGCACGAAAAAAAGACAAAATCGTGCGCTGTCGCACGAAATGCTGGTGGATGAGCGAATCTTTCACGTTCCCAGAGTAACCGTGTGAATTTCTCTTGAATTCTAACGCAGATACGACAAGTTACTAGCGGAATGTGTATAGATTCATCAGGGAAAATCGAAGACCTACATCAGCCAGTGGGCATGTATCCCTGTCACCGTCAAGGCGGCAATCAGGTACACATTCGCGAACCCGTCAATTTTCAGCAATCTTAAACAATACTAAGCTGATTTGAAAACGATTGTGACTAACGATCTAACGGACATTCATGATATTACCCCTCGAAGCTTTCCTAATCGGTCAATAGATGGATGGCAGGCATATTTCTGATCTATCTGGTTTCGGGGTTATAAATCTACGCGACTTGTAAAAACAACTGATCCTTGGAACGCATGTGCGATCGCGTGCATGCTAACCTGGCACTAATCGCCCTACGTTTCGACGCGATTAGTGGCATCGCTAATCTGGTGCAGGTGCTCATCAATCCATGTCTCTACTGCCTCTCGGTGAGATGACCCCAATTGCTGCCTTTTACCACGATTTCTTACCATGTTATCATCATTTCTCACATTGATATAGTAGACTTAGATTTAATCATCGACTTGGCTCCTCTCATAATCCACGTACAAGAGTGAGAATATCAAAGTGCAAATATCGACAAAATATCGCACGTTTGGACATTTTTACAATTTTATCCATCCTTTTCATCTTTTCACAATGTAAATTTCATCTTTCGTACATGTGTTATACAATATTTTATCGCGCAATTTTTAATTCTCAAAACGAAGACTGGTAATTGGTTTGATAAAAATAAATCCGAATAAAAGTGTAACTTTATCATAGTTTTTGTATCTCTTTTTCTTTTACCTTACGTCGATGACAAACGCAGCGGATAAACGCGCGAAAAACAACAGCAGCAATTTCAACGACCTACTCCGTTCATTTATTAGCGAGCTTACGCTTGCCACTCGACAGAATCGAGCGTACCATGTAAATTCGTGCTTTATCTTGTTTCTTGCACTCGTTCGGTCGATCGCACGGTCTGTTATTAGAGTTCACACACGAAACACGCGCACGCGTGCGTAGGTATTTCCGTAGTTTCCTGTCTTTCACCTACAAGCACGTAACGTGTACGCGAATACCGAATCGCCGGCGTTTAACAACCGTGGCGACCGGTTACAACCAAAAACACAATCAGTCGGCGGTGCTTGCTTAGCCCGGTAAAGCGCTGCTTTAATTTAGCTGTTTGCCCTCGCAATTAAGCCGCGGTTTCACGGCAATTACGCTTTCGGTCGTCGCCCGCGTGACACTGATAAAGTCACGACTCTCTATGCTACGTGGGGAAAAGGGACGCAGCGCTGGGATGCACATCGGCGATTCGGGATCAGTCGTGAGCGCGGATGATGGAAGATGAATAATCGTATCATCGGATGGAAGGCGAGTGCATCGCGAGAGATAGCCGTTGCGGTCGCCGGATGGTCAGTTTACACACACACTACAATGCATATACTGCTCCTTCTCCCTCCCTCCCCCCCCTCTCTCTCTCTCTCTCTCTTTCTCTCTCTGCTATATACATAGAATTATCATCATGCTCAGGAATCATGATATAACATCGCTATCCCGCTGTAATCGTACTACATACTACTGAACACAATGCGCACTGATAATGCATCATCCCTCGCGAAATCCCATCGCCGTTGGCCATTTTCGAATCTTGTTTTTCTTTTTCTTTTACCATACGTGCGAAAAGTAAGTGGTTACGTCAGAGATACGATAGAGATAAGCATGCGAGATGGACATAGCGATGTGCATTAGATAACACTTGCATTATATGTACTTCAGGCAACGCAACATAATATACTCTGATTTGAATGAGAGTTTCAGGCAGAATGGAACGCGGGTCGTGCATGGCTAACGACGCTTGATGATATATGTGTGCGGTGAATGCTTGCTTCTCGTTATCCCTCATACCCACTATCCCCTAATTATACTTGTAAAGCACTTCAAAACAACTATATTGTCGACCCGACGGTTCTGACAGCCGCAATCCCAATTCACAGTCCGCGCTCGTTCATTGTATTAAATTAGTGATAATTATGATCGCGCGAATACACGTATATGCAGATCCGTGACAAGCTTTTGCGCCGTTATTTTTTCATTTATCGCATTATTATCCGCCTCATATTTTTTTTAAATGTTTTCCCTGAAATGAACTGTCGTGACTTCAACGAGCGTGAATTCGCGTTTCTGAATCTTGCTTCGGCAATCAACACGATGAGTTAGAATCGCACGAAGAATATTTCATGAGCGACACATATGTTCGAGGCTTGGCGCTCGCTGTCCATTCCAGACAGTTGGAATTGCACAAACAACGACGATCGGCTCGGCGCGGCGTCCGGTTAGATAAGCGCAATTTCGAGAGCCACCGGATTCCATTATCGGACGACCGACGCTCATTACGAGAGCCGGATCGCTTTGACGCGTTTCCGCCGCGCCGCACGCGTTCACCTTCGTGCAAACCTGCACATTGCCCGCGGTAAATAACTGTTGGTCGCACACGGCACGTCACACGTTCGTTAGCTCGCTTGCGCACGATCGCCCGGGACAAGTTATTTTACAAGCGGCGCGTGCAATCGATCGGTCGGCAGCATCACGAAAATCCGCGTCTATCCGCGGTCGTCGCGCTCATGATGATACACCGGTACAATGAATACGCCACGCTTATATTTTCACATCTCGCGAATACGCAATGCGACAGATTAAATGCGCGGAACGAACGATTTTACGTTTTTGCATTATCGCGGTTTACGTTTTTGGCCATATCTCTGATTTTGTGAATATTATTGTTTGATCGGAGACGAATTGTGTTGAAACAGGCACGCTTTGTAAACCGTAGAGAGAGGAATTCATACATATTAACTATTGAAATTTTATCCGAATTCTTTTTCATTTTTACAATAACAAAATATCGCCGTGTGTTAATATGAATTTTATTAAAAGCAATTCTTTATTCCCGATTGATTGTTCATGCAAAATTTTTTTTTTTTTTTTCCCCGTGGCGGCTGTTAAAATCTCGTTGGTCGTAGACAAGTTTGCAATTTTTGGAAATATTAATCAAGATTGTCTGTCGCAGTACTGGATGCTCAGCAAGACGGGCGAAATCCGTCGAGACGAGTCGTGCTTGGACTACAGTGGCAGCGACGTTATTCTCTATCCTTGTCATGGCAGTAAAGGAAATCAACAATGGATCTACAATCCTCAGGTAATGAACCGTTCTCGAAACATTCTTTTGCTAATCTATGAGAGCAGATTTTGATATTAAATGAAACAATTTAGCTAGCAAGTATTTTTATGTAAATTAATCTCTCTTTAAATTGCTCTTCGAAACTGGAATCATCCCGTACTTTTATTTCCAGACTAATCATATCAGGCACGGTAGCAGCGACAAATGTCTAGCGATTACAGAGAGCAAACAGCAACTGGTGATGGAAGAATGCTCGTCCAATGCCCTGAGACAGCGATGGTCCTTTGAGAATTACGATCCATCGAAGCTGTGATACCGCGCCTTTTCGCGTCGTCATTCCCATAATCGCAATCACGCTTCTGATCGCGCCGGATCTTGGCTACCAGGCAAACGGTTCTCAATCGCTAAGACTCGTTTTGGTAGATAAATCTCACGAATTCCGCAAGATATTGCGAAAATTCCTGAAACCGCTCGGAATCGCTTGATGGACCAATTTAAACCCCACGCGTTTTCTCAAGGAACGAGAACGAAAGAGTTCATCGTCGACTTCTCATCGACGATTGAAATGTGTGAAACAAAAGATCAATCGATGCAACGAAACGTTTGCGAGAACAATATACTTTGAAAATTTTGTACTGAGAAACTGCATTTAATTAGAATAAGTTCCGAGCATTGTATGGCGCTCGAATCGATTATGATTTGAGTTTCATATATTGATAGCCCTAATTACTAAGAGTATTACGAGAGATTAGCTCGAACGTGATTGTGAACGAACGTGATTGTATCGACCATCGAAATAGCTCTCGATCATCACTTTCGTTCATTGATCATTCACGCTTCCATGAGGATCAAAATAGGAAGCGGAATGTTTGATATTGTCATAGAAACGATACATCGTATCGATCTTAGTGAACGAATCGTTAAGTATAACGAGTAGCGAATTATTTCCTTTTCTCTATATTACGACAATTTCAAGAACGAACTGCAGAATGTTTTCGACAAGTTTGAACGCGACCGTTATCCTTTAGAAAAATCAAGTGCCAAATTTCAAATATTCCCATCTCAAGCTTACTATAACCGAGGATAAACTCCTACAAAATAGTGAACCTACATTGCCGTTAATGAAAACACGTAGTGTTTGCGTGTACTGAATAACTTCAGAAGATTGTATTAGACGATATCTGCGCAATCGTGCTCTTCTGCTAACTCTTGGAGTGCCATGTGCGAATTTGAGGGAAAAACGCGAAGAGAATTATAGCTCCCTTAATGCAAATTGCGTTTGTACAATTTGCATTGTTCTCATGCACGGCTCATGAGATAGCATGCATCTTATAAGTAAAGATGGTTTACCTTCAAGTTATTTCCTAATCACGCTTTTCTCAGTGTTCGAGAGAAATATTTCGAAAATGTATGCAATAATATCATTCTTCATATTAAAACAATTGCCAGACATCATACCGCTAATCGGCGATTCGATTATCCGCGATAGCATTCGTCGCTCGTTCATAGTCTCTTTCTTGCTACCTCTTCGGAGGTGAATTTTACATTCCAGATTCGCCGAGATGATGACGGCGATATTTCAACAAGTGTAACAAAAAGAGAATATATGATATTTTCTTTTTAATTTTTAATTTAGATACTCGCGTAGATTTAATTAGATATGCGTAAAGGAGGAGAGCGGTAAAACATTCTGGAGACAAATTGTTTGATTCTGTTTGTACAATACATTCATGTAAGATACAATGTCTTGATGCCAGTTCAGAGAACGTAAGTACCGCCTAAGTAGATCTAAGAGAGTGTCACTAATTGTATGAACATGTATTATTAATCGTAAGCGGATTGTCTTCGCTTTCGACAGCCGCGAACGATTCGCGATCGTGAATCGGCGATTAGTTGGATGTGTAAATTCGCTAGCGAATACTTTATAAAAAGTACACTTTTATAAGGAAACATCGTTTCTTATAATTTTAGCTACATATCACTAGACGAGCGCGATCAAGAATCGACGCGTATAATACAGTCTTCGTATAAAAGTAAGGATTAAATTTAAAATACATTAACAAGTCTTTACCTGTTAGTTACGTGTTTAAAAATTTATGACATGTTCGCCTGAAAATGGTCTAATTTAGTGGTCTAACAATTTCATCCGTGAAGTTTCTAGGTATTCAAATTTGAAAATGATTTTTGTGTGCCAACAAAATCACAAATATCGCTACATGTGCAGAAATGCATAATTATTAAATCGACGATTAAAACCAGGCATTGGCCTGTATTATTATTAATTCTTCTACGAATCATGTGATGCAATTTTATTCTTTTCTTCTTTTTTTCATTACATTTGAGAACATAATTGTAAAATTTCATATGTCGAAGAAATGTGTGACGAAAGAAATTAAAATATCATGTATATGGAACTTTTTCTTGATGGAAATTAAGAAAAAACATACATAGCTCTATTAACATCAGCTGAATAAAAGGTTCAGATATTGCAATGAGAAAATTGCAGAGTTGCGCGGCTGCACTTTTCGCGCTAGGTTTTTCGATTTTGCGTGCAATTAATCGTGGGCGTATGAATGCGTTACATACGTTTAACTTGCGAAAAATAATTCGCAAAGGAGAGAAAGGAAGTAGCAAGCGCTGGCTCGCGTACGAATGCGTGCTTAGTTAGACATGACTAACTAGCGATTCTCATTTTAGGATTAAGAATCGAGTTTCTCGAAGCCGCAATTTTGCCAATGCGCGATACGAGATATATTTGAATAGCTTAGGGAGTGTGATTGTGTAAGTCGCGGATAATCTCGCATGCGAGAATCCGCCTCGCGATTCATTCCTAATAGTACGACGCGAGCAAACGCGAACGCAAGAGTGCAGGTCAAAGACGTTTATACAGATTATATATACGACATTTTCTACATTTGGTAAGGACGTTGCATATCGTAAGGGATGGAGACGATTGATAGTAATTATAAACGCGACAAACGCGCGACCGCCGAAAGAAAAAAGACCCATATTTCTCATGCACGAGCCCGTCGCGCATTTAATTAATATATCAAACGTGCCTTATTTCGTGTACATATGAATATTATTATCATTATATCATTATATCATTATTACTACAAACCTCTATCATAACGTGCAAGTATTTGTGTTGAATAAATCGATGTTGTTTTATGTTACTAATAGTTTTTAGAAAACCCCTTGCCTCGTGTTTTCTTTTATTCTTAACTTAATATCTTAACTTTTAAGTAGGTAAGTAAGATGCTCAGAGTAGATAAATTTTACTTTTTCAAAATTATATTTTTTAATAGTATATATAAATTTACATTAAATTTATATTCTTATGGAATAGAGGAATGTAAAATAATGAACCTTAAGACTTCTGGGCAATTTTTTTCATTTTCCTTTTCCAGAACCAAGTTTAAGATGACTATGTGTAAAGTAATCATCTACTTAAAGGTTAAATTAAAGTTTACATTATAATATTTCTATTATAATACTATATACCTATAGAATATGTCAGGAGGTAAACGACGAAATGTCTTTACGCTGACGGATGTGAATACGCCAAGCGATATATTTTCGAAAGGAATATAAATAGGACACTTTGTTACGGGCCTTGTGTGAAAATGGAACATGGCACGCTTTCGCTTAGCCCTGACCCATTTCTGGCCACCCACGAGTTCCGCTGTTTCGAGGAGCAAGGTAAACGGCAGTCCTGCCAAGGATCAATAATGACGGAAAAATCTCGTGATGGAATCGCAGGACGAGGCAGCACCTAACGGTCTGGTAATTGAGGGTGGAGACGAGAGCAAATACGCATATAACCTTCATTTCAAAATACAACATGGGAATGGCAATGTTTTCCTAGATAATGAAGTTTCTAGTTCATTACGACCAATCACTTCTATCTATTGAACCATTTACCAATTATCAAGGGGTTGTTATGCGAGCGAAAATGAAATCGTTCGTTATTCTCGCGCAGGCGTTCTTGTTGTCGCAGGAGAAGCACATTGCTATGCGAGAGACTCCACTCGAAAAGGGGATGAAAAGTCCTGCGAAGGGTCACTCGGCGCGATTTGGAGCTCAAATGTTTCGAATTATGTTTGTGCTTGAAAGTAAGCCTTTCTTCTTAAATGTTTTTTTATAAAGAAAACTTAAATATTTTTTTTTTAATTAATTAGCCATCGCAAGCTACCTCTTTATTCACAAAAGTACTTTTATTCTACTTTTACTTAGTTGATATAAAAATATAAAAGAAAATAGAAAGTGAATCAGATAAACTAAAATGTATAATTATTTATGATTTGTAATTTACGAAAAATAATTAGTATTATATAAAGTCTGCTTGTATAATATGTATTATTTTATTTTATTTTATTTTATGCCATATACAATTTTTTAGATCAGATTAAATCTAGCTGTATATTTATATCAGATCGAATCCAAAGAATTTTTCTTGTGTGTTTTGGGGTCGCGTTGCAACTTGTTGCGGTATTGATTAGAAGAGAAAGATAGCGGAATGCCACGAAGTGAGAAGAAAAAGCTTTTAACAATATCAATGATTCCAATACATTTTGTTAAATTGAGCTTCATCCGAATTCATTCAGTGTTTATATTATCTTCATTTTCTGTTTGCTCATTAATAAGTCGTAAAAAATATCATGATATCCTGAAAATATCAATGTTTGAGAAACAGACGATTGGAAATTATGAAACAGTAAGAGTTAATAAAATTTTTTATTAGTCAGAAACTTTCATCTTAGGACTCTTATATGTAATTGTTATAAAATTATTAATTTTCGGTGAATTATGAAAACTATTATCCCAAAAGAATTGCAAAATAAGAAATAAAAATTACATATATTTTAAATTAGATAGATATTGATTATATCATAGTATTACATTTTTGCACAAAAGATGAATTATCACACGTTTTATAGAATATATAAAATTGCAAAAAGTTCAAAATTAAAATTTCTGGTAGCTAGTCAAAATTTATCAACAAGTACATTATCAACAATTAAGAACAATGACAGTGAAAGTGCAAGCCTCTAATGACCGCACATGACCTCGAAACTAAATACTCTCAAGCGATATTTAATCAATCGTTCGACCAAGGATCCGTTTCGCTTGAAATTATTCTGTCCGATAGGGAGATAGTCCTCTGGGTCGAGCCGGCGTAGAAACGGGCGACGTCAATGTTCCACATGACGCAGGCGCCACGACGCCTTTTCGACGCCTCGTCGACAGGAAGCTCTGCACCTGTCCAGCTCTTTGCTCGTCCAGAGCCTTCGCCCTGTGCTCCCTCCGATTGTGTATCCATTCACGAAAGCAACCCCCAACGCGTCCGGAATCCCTCGAGTCTTCACGAAGAAGACAGCAGCCAGGACTGAAACGTTCACGCGCGTCGTTCTTTGCGGCAAGATTACCCCTCATCTCTTCCGTGACGAATAAGGGCGGTGTTCGGTCGATTCGGACAACTTCATTGGAAACGCACGTTGGAAACCATCGCGATCAATCCCGCGACATCGATTGTATCCTGAGCTCGATATCGCGAACCTCTAGGTACTTGCCTTACGGTTGAAGTGTTCGATAAATTTCGCCTGTAATTTTATTAATTTTTATTTCACACTTTATCTTAGTGCTGTCGAATATAATCATTTACATTTTACATTTAAATATGCGAGAACTATATTTGCGATTGTATTCTCGGTTTGTGTCAAATTAAGTTATTGTGTATATTGTGCTTAATTAATGTATTACGTATACGTTTAAAAGAGAAGTAATAATCTTCTTAATAATTTAATTCTTATTGATCCGTCTTTGCATATGCGTGTTCCACAATTAATAATTACGTTAACAATTAATTGTTCTCGTTTTTTTTTACGCATTCGATTCAGCCAACTTCGATTGATTTCTCCGACAATATTCAAGAAGAGAGTTAAAAGTGTTTTTTCGGGGCCAAAGCAGCCCGGCAAGCGAAGAGGCTCCGGGATCAAAGCAACAGGTAACACTTCATTTCATATTGAGACACTTTTCTATTTATTTCTCTCTCAATAATCATTGTTCTGCCCTCTTCTTTTTATTCTCTGTATTGATTGTATCTTCTTGCACGTAATTATTTAGAGCATTTGATTGTTTACAACAAAGCGAAATCATCTGGCAATTATTGAAAGCGAGGAAAACAAATTGCTAAAACATAATATTTTTTTAAATTATTGCAGATTTAATAAAATTGAAAAACGCGCAGAATATAATTAATTAAGTAATTCATTATTAAATTATTAAAAAGAAAAGACTTTTACGTAAAATGAATTAATTCTAATATTTCTTTGAATCAATAAATTGCTTTATTTATTGCTTTTTTTAGAACAAGACAATCACAATATATAAAAATAAATTCTAAAATAAATTCTATATTTAGTATAACGAAGAGCAGAAATAAAAAAAAGTTACAAGATTTGAATAATTCTTTTTATACATGCATGTGTGCTCATTATTTGTCTCGATTATTTGAAACGACAATGAACACAATAGCAATTAAGTACGAAGCATTATTGACAGGATTAATCAATTTTTATTTAGCAAGTAGGTTAGTTACATTGTAAATAGTGTGATCCGTTGTAAGAAAAAATACATCCTTCTATTATAGTGTAGGAATGCATTGTCAAAAAGAGAGCTAGATTTTTTTTCTCAATAAAACGCCTGCACTGTACACATAAGCAAAATTTCTAAAAAAAGTGTTTATATCGAATTGTTAATAGTACATGTATTTAACATAAAAGTGTTAGTACTATGAATTACCTCATAACGAGACAAAAAAGGAAAGAGGTAGCAAAGATTATCTTTTAAATAATAGTTTGTGGATGAAAGCGACGTTTTTCTTTATACAATCCCCTGCTGCGTATTAAAAGGCCATGATATTTTTATCTAATTGCAAGCCTGCGCACTTGTGTACATAATAATTATTGAGCAATTTTTTAACGTTAGTCTTATAATAAATAAATAAATGTAAATAATATTGCACACACTAATACTTATCATGTTAGTCTTTACATTTATTATAAACAGAATCAAACAAGTAAAATAAAAATTATAAATAAAGCAAGAAATAGGATTACAATTTATCCTCATTCTACATAAAATAAACAGCAGGAAGACATGGGCCCGATGCCGGAGGCTTCAGGATCTGGAATGACTGACGAGGATGATTACTCGACTTTCGAGAATAAAACTGGCCTGGCCGAAGACATGAAGTTTTTGGCGAGTATGCCAGAACTCTGCGACGTGACATTCCTCGTCGGTGACACCAGAGAGCCAGTTTGCGCCGTAAAAGCTGTGCTCGCGGCCAGAAGCAGGTTTGTATAAAAAACATCTTCATATTAATACGCATGGAACAAACGAGTAAAACAAAGGTTTTTATCCTTTTTCAAAATTTACAGAGTCTTCCATAAAATGTTATATCAAACTCCGAGCCCACAACGTAAAAAAGAACCGCCGGCGCGAGAAAACAAGATTCGGCTCTTTCTCAAGCGCAGCTCTGAGCCGCTGTTAAATTTGCAGAACGCCGCGCAACAGGTACTTGCCATGAAAGTTAATACATAATTTATCACTAACAAACTTGTCGCATTGATATAATAAATAAATTATAAAATAAAATAATAAAATTAATACAGCGCAATATTTATAATGTATATCAGGTCGCAATGAGGAAGATATCAAATTTTTTATCTAATTCTGATATTCTAACCATGATATTCTAACTCCTTTTCCAATTTTCCTTTGTGACAAAATCAATATATGCCGCGTGTATATATCTCAATATAAAAGAGATAAGCATTATGTAAATAACACATATATAAAATAGATATAAACAATTTCTCAGACTAATTGTAAGAAGCGAGCACGTTCGATATGCAAAACCCAACGATCGCTCGTGTTAATTTTATCAATTTTAATTTAACGAAACTTATAGAACTGGATTTTCCGTTAGTCTGTTAATTAATATAAAATAAGAAAATAGTTATACATTATTACATATTTCTGTTAACCTAAATACCTTGTTGAAACGACAATCGTTTTTTTTTTTTGGGACACGTTGCATATTTATCGTGGCCGTCGCTGAAATGAATATTCCGCTTTTATCAGGATAGAAATAGTAAGTGTGCGTTTGTATGTGTCGTGTAGCGGTCAGGGTTCACGCAGCAACTGGCCCCCATCCAAGAGGTACTTTGAACGTCACTTTTACATAAAATTTTTTACATACAGATCGAAATCGTTTCCATCCCACTGGCCCCCCTTGTTCCCTATATTTCTAATTGAGTACTCCTTTTTTTCTCTAATTTTCTGCTCACTGCACTGTGATCATGACTTTGTCTCACGAAATCATTTAGAGGAGCTGTCGTAGGAGATCACTTGAAATTTATGTTATTGACATATCAATGTTTTTTTCGCTGCCTTGACTTTTTTACTTGGACAAACGTTCTTTTATCTTGTTATTCTTTTGCGCGTTGAAAAGAGATAGACTATTCTCCAGACACGTGCGCAAATATGTAATTAATTCATGCGATTATGGACTGAACTGTGCGCTAATTCTATATTTGAACTACTGCATGATCGATTCAATTGTATTCTCGTAGTCGCCAAATCCATTATAGCTGTAGATTGGCACGATTACAGAATTCACTATTTCAACTATTATTGACTATGTTTACATGGCACTCTTAATCAGGTTCATTAATATCCATAATTATATATGTGCGTGCGTGCGTGCGTGCGTGCGTGCGTGCGTGCGTGCGTGTGCGTGCGTGCGTGCGTGCGTGCGTGTGTGTGTGTGTGTGTGTGTGTGTTTTTGGGGGGGGGGGGGGGGGGGTGTGAGTGCGCGCGCGTGCAAAACTGGCTAATCACAGTCATTCCATTCTTCGGTGGAATAGCTATGATTCATATGATTACAGTTGTTATCAAACTTGATTAAGAGTATTGTGTATAAACGTAGTCATACTGACTTACATAATGGTAACTCACAAATCAACCAAGCGAACAAGTTGTAATTATTAATGTAAATTTCAGCGTGCATCTTAAGACAAATTAATAATAGGATAGTTCTCAGTAAAGCAAAAGATAAGTTTATTTAGAAAATATTAACAGATATAGTACTTGAATATGTTCGCTGGGTTATTAGTTAGGTAATATATTCTCCTAATATGTTAGATGCACAATAGCTAAAATTTTGCACTAAAAAATATTATTATGATGCCGATGTATCTCTTATCTAACATATCTCTTTCTTCATAATTAGTGAATTTGATTTATTATTGCGCTAGTCCTTACGAATTCCCATGCAAGTCGCTTAGCACGGGTATTCGATTTAAGCTTGAATCTGAATATCCTCATTTTTTCGTTTAGATGTTTGTATTTTACTTTTGTATCGTAGCCGCAATCACATCAGCATCATACGCTGATTATCGAGGAATTCGAGCCCGATGTCTTCCGGCAGCTGATCGAGTATATTCATACGGGATGTGTGACATTACAGCCTAGGACTTTGCTTGGTAATCAATTAATTATATAGTATCTCTAACAAGCCAATTAGGATGTGTATTATTTGTCGCATGGATTAATCATTACGACGAGTATATTTCCTATCATTATATCTTATCCGACATTCGTGAGCTAAGCACATATAAAGTAGAAGTTCATAAGATAATTTTATGTATTGTAAAAGACACATAAAACGTTTTATCTAATGAATGATTCAATTTCGATGGCTGATAATAATTTATATCCTTATGTTAGGGGTAATGAACGCCGCCGATTATTACGGATTGGATGAACTCAGACGAGCCTGTGCAGGCTTCGTTCAATGTTGTATAACCGTTGATACGGTCTGCGCTTTATTAGCATCAGCGGAGCGTTATATTCAGTATAAATGCACGAAATCTTTAGTTCAAAAGGTAAAAGTTTTCGAGACATTATGCCTTTAATGTTTAATTTTGTAACTAATTAATTTAAAATTAATATTAAACTCTTTGCGAAGGTACTAGAATTCGTCGATGAGCATGGCAATGAAGTATTGAATTTAGGATCGTTCACATTACTACCGCAACACGTTGTTCGTTTAATCCTTGCCAGAGAAGAATTACGTGCAGATGAATTTACGAAATTTCAAGTAAGCTTGACACATGAATATGTTAACAACATATTCATTTATCCGACATTTTTCTGCATAATGTTTCTTCAAATTAACTTCTCTCTTACAGGCTGCATTAATGTGGAGTAAAAAGTATTGCGACAACAATCAAAATACACCGTTGAAAGATGTAATTGGTAATTTCATCGAGTACATTCAATTTCACAAAATTCCAGCCACTGTATTGATGCAAGAAGTAAATCCTTTGGGACTGGTGCCACCGGAAATTATCATGAATGCATTAGCTTATCAGGTGCGCGTTGCTTTTTCATATACTTCATTTTAAAACACAAAAAGATGCTATTGATGTAATTAGCATTATGAAACGTGTCTCACACAATTTCTTGCGACAGCGCCATCAGTTTCTTTATGAAAGAATTTGTTGCAGGCAGACCCAACCAGTGTCGACCCCAGAAAATTCTCTCCCCACAGAGTGAGGAGACAGGGTCGCAGCATGTCGGTCCAGTCGTCACTGGATCCGTATGGCAGCATCACGACCTTGAGTTCGAGCGGCTCCGACGCCGGATCGGATCAGAAACAAAATTCTGGTAGCAACTAACCTCAGGCCACGGCCGCACTGATCGCGGCCGTTTCGGACGAGCCTCGACGAACCGAGGATATTTGTGGCCCCGACGAAGGAGCGGCGCCGACAGACGATATTATCGCAGAAGAAAGAGAGCAGAAAGAAAAACAGCGACCGCAACAACAACAATCTCAGCGGCAGCAGCAAGATCAACAACAAGAATCTCAAGTTCAGGTTCATGCAGAACAGGAAGCGCCTCAATCACAGGAACAACAGAAACAGGAACAAGTGCAGTCACAACAAAAAGAGCCGGGTCATTTACAGCAGCAAGTCCGTCAGAAGATAGAGAAGGACAGGGAGCAACGAAAGCTTCAGCAAGAACAACAGCTATTGCAGCGTAAACTGGAACTGGAAGAACAACTACGACGCAAACTGGAGCGAGATGAAGAAGTATTGCAGCGAAAATTAGAAGAAGAAGAAAAACCGTTACAACAGAAGATGGAACATGAGACACGAAGGAAATTAGAAAAAGAGGAACAGCAGCAAATTATGCGGTTGAAAAAAGAAACGGAGCAGCTGAAGAAAGAAGAAATAAAACGTTCACCGAAAGCTGAACGTGTGCTACAGCAGAAAAAGGTTGATGATAAGCAACCACAACTGCCAAAGGCAGATGAACAGCCGGAACTACAACAGAAACGTAAACAGCTGCAAGAACCGCTGGATAAAAATGAGCGAGCAAAACTGCGCAAGCAAGGTGAGAAAGTGGAGATATCACGTCAAGAGTCACTTGTGCAACAGCAAAAGATGGAGATAACAATGCAAGAAGATCAAGAGGCACAGCGGAAGGAGAAGCCGCAGTTGCCACAGCCTGGGGAATCGCAACAGCAGCAACAGCTGCAGCCGCAGCAGCAGCAGCCACAGCTGCACCAAGAGCAGTCGGGAATTCGGCCACTTGAGGGAGTCAGTGGACTTTACATTAGGATAGTGCTGAGACACGAAGGTCGCGCAAATCTAGTCTGGCTATACAAAACACACATATTCTAAATTTTGATGATTCGCCTCGTCGCTTCCGTCTGAATGTCTCAAGCGACCTCGCAGCTATACGGCTCTACGACTTATCCATCCATGTTGAAAGGTATCGTGAAGATGTAATGCAAGATGTAATGCATTAAGATACATTACAGCGCTCCGCATATTCCGGGGTTACTTAATGTTCTTAAGAGAACATCGGCGTTTCCTTTAACGTTCTAATGTCGACGCGTCGAAGTAATGCGCGCGTCAAAATATCAACTGGTGCATGTAATCAGCTTCTTTTCCACGGCGCAAGTGAAGCTTTAACGGTACATCTTTGCGCCGCCGCAATCGCGATTGCGCGTTGCCATTTCTAGATATAATAAATCAGAGGATTCCGTTAGGCTTGATTGTCCATGATCGTGGAAGAAGACAATCGTACTCATGTTATTGTTGCAAGAGAAATATGTATTTGTTAAACGTAAATATGTACATGTAAACAAAAATGCATCTGTCGCTTCGTTCATCATACTTTCTGTATCGTTCGACAGATTCATACCGTTTCAGTCCAATAAACGCCATTGCGGACAGATAAGTAACATGAATTAATTAAATAAGTGCAGTTTAAAGATACAGTTTCTTGTTTACACATAGTATTTATTATTTACATTTTATCCCACATAATTTATCTCATGCAACTACTATTTTTTTTAATTTGTTTAGTTTTTAATTTGTCATAAATTATACGTTTTTGTAAACTTTATAATACTTTTTATCATCTTTATTTCTCATTATTGAACTATTTCCATTGAACTATTTCCATTATTAATCAACGAAACTGCATTGTCAAAAAAATTGACTTATATCGAACGAACTTTTCGCTACGAGACATAATGTGGTTATAGTAACAATTTAGAGAGATATTATATACGCTTGTTAAAAATAGATCTTATATTATAGCCAAGAGAGATATGTAATATATATTCTATATGTTTCTGGATAATGGTTATTTGACAGTAATAGATGACTAGAGAGCCGATATTTTGTCATGAATCCCTGGATATTATTACATTCGATATTTAGACATATGTATTCTTCGTTCAGTTGCACCGTCAATTATCAGAAAACCGAAAATCTCAGAGAAGCTATGGTTTAAGTAGTAACAGAAGTCTGAATACTCGCCAGATAAGTTTCGCTGAAACGAATATTATTGCCGTAGTTTTTAACTATAATAATTGATGCATGCAGCTACAAAATAAATTATATGTTACACTTCAGTCCGTTATAAATAAAAAACATGCACTAAAGTTTAGATACGTACGTGCTCTTAGTAACATTAGATATCAGTAGAGATGGCAGAGAAGCAGTTTAATTTTTAAACAGAGCTTAACGCATAGATCAAAATGTCAACAACAACTGAGCGTAAAACTAAAACGCAGCTGTCACCTCTGGTAATGTTTTTATTACTGTCGCATGTACAGCTTATTTGCGTAGATGTGTCAAAGATATGTTCATAAATGTGAATATATTTACTTGTCTATGAACCGTTGTCTGTTGTGTGCAGCGACATTTCTATTGTTTTATACGTAAATGTATGTACAAAAAATATATATAT